ATAGATTCTTTTGTGGCACCGAATATGATATCATCCACATAAATTTGTACAAGAATGACATTACCTTTATGTTTCCTGAGAAAGAGGGTATTGTCAATTTTACCACGGGAGAAGCCGTTCTTCAAAAGAAAAGTAGCGAGAGTGTCATACCATGCACGAGGAGCCTGTTTGAGACCATACAAAGCTTTGTCTAATTTATAGACATACCCTGGATGTTTAGGATCCTCAAAGCCTGGAGGTTGCTTCACATAGACTTTTTCAGTAAGTTTCCCATTCAAGAAAGCACTTTTGACATCCATCTGGAAAACTTTGAAGTTCTTCAATGCAGCATAGGCAAGGAAGATTCGAATAGCTTCCAATCTTGCTACTGGAGCAAATGTGTCATTATAATTAATGCCTTCCTCTTGCCTGTATCCTTGGGCAATGAGTCGGGCTTTGTTTCGAGTCACCGTTCCGTTCTCATCCATTTTATTTTTGAAGATCCACTTTGGGCCAATAATTGTTTTGTTGATTGGTCGGGGGACCAAACTCCAAACATTGTTATGCTCGAACTGCAGCAGTTCTTCTTGCATGGCACTGATCCAGCTAGGATCATCAAAGGGTTCATCAATTCTTTTAGGCTCGATGAGAGATATAAAGTTGACATACAAACAGATATTACCAGCACCACGACGTGTTTGGACACCTGCTTGCTGATCACCAATAATTTGCTCTATTGGGTGATCTCTGGTCCACTTAGTGGCAGGAGGAAGAGAAAGAGGAAGAGGAAGAGAGGTAGAGACACCGTTAGCATTCGTCAGAGGATTGGAATAAACGACTACTGAGGTTGGGTCACCGATGTCCCTAGTATAAAAAATAGGAACATCGACACCAGTTGAGGGTTCCACATAGGAAAAAGGTGCCGGATCGGCTGGTTCTTGTTCAGGACAGACCGATGGGATATACATGTTGAATGAAAGATCTTCATTCTCATCTTCCTCAACAGGTGGAACATCATCTCTATTAGAGTGTGGAGGTCCACTGACTGGAGTTGAATTCTCAGAAGAATGAGATTCCAACCACTTGTTGAGCTCAAGATCATCACTTTGAAATGATGATGTTGCAGGCACTGATCCAGATTCATCAAATCTGACATTGACAAATTCATCAATGCACCGACGGCGCATGTTGTACACCCGGTAGGCTTTAGAGAAGAGAGAGTAACCAACAAAGATTCATTCATCAGATTTAGGATCAAATCTTCCTAACTGATCTCTGTCATTCAAAATATAGCATGCACTACCAAACACATGAAGGAAGCTGATGTTTGGTTTTCTACCATGAAATACTTCATAAGCAGTCTTGTTGTGTCTTTTCACAATTATAGACCTATTTTGAGTAAA